GTGGGATTGACTGTCACATTATAACACCCCCACGGCTAAAAGGGCGAGCATATTTGGTGGTATGCGGATTCGAACCCGCGACCCTCAGATTGTGAGTCGAGCGCCTTATCCACCTGGCCATGCCGGGCACTCATTTTCTTGAAATAACATCTTAGTCATATAATATACTTAAATCAGTCAATTACTATCAAATATTTCACTGTAAAGTGTTGATTAAAAAACAGCAACACAGTAGCACGAGATGGGCATAAGGTAGACTTAAATAACCTCACAAAACTTTTAGATCTTTTGTGTAAACATTTTTTACAAATATTATGTTCTCACTTTTGTTCGGTATAGCTTCTACAAACAAATTCTTTCACATTCTATATAATATCAGTCTAGTATTCTTTTCTTTTTTCAAAATCATTTTAATTTAAATATTGAACATCGTTATAAAAACAAACCTTTCTTGGCACAGTAAAAGAAAGGACTTCACAGAAGCCGCTCGAGTGCAGCCGAAAAAACCTAAAATAATAAGGAATGCAAGCTTTTAGCACCATACCGGGACATACCTCATGTGATTGGTTCTCTCATTTAAGTCGATAATAGTAATATTAATTTTTTTAGTAAATCATTAATAACAAATTCAGTAAACTTTCTTTAATGATTCTAAATAATTACAAGTACTACTTAGATTATAATTTATAATTAAAAAAAAACAAAAACGATACTAGCTGTTAATGAATGTATCAATTTTGACGTTCAACCTGAAAGTAACATTCTTATTCATTGATTCGTTATATATTTTTTGATTTATATCAAATGCATCATACGAAACCTCACCTCGCAATCTCACATCGAGTTAAGTCACAACCACGTTTTGGCATCATACCCGTGCCTCGCTGAGGGGAAGTTGACTGATAGGTGTTGATGTAATGAACGTACGGAGATTCCTCTGTTATCTCAAAGTAACGAATATTGCTATCTCCCTTTTGATACATAAAATTTTTTATTATACAATTAAGTATTAAACCAAATCCCTCAAAGACTTGTGCTTACATCCCAAATTTATATATATATATCTCATTATTTGTACATATAATTATCTTTATTGCAATAAAAGAATTTAAAATACTCAAATTTAATCATAAATAAATAATGAAATACTTATACCACAGAGTTTAACCTTTAAACTTTAAGTTTCATAATCATTACCTGAACATTGCAGTTTTAGTGTTACACCGCACACGGCTAGCTTTACATGATTCTTAAATATCTAGTTCCAAATGAAACTGTCATACTTTCTACTCGTGTACAAACTTTTCTTAACCAACTAATTTGTGTATAAATTAATTGCAAACTTTTAAATTAATAACAAATTCACTTTGTAAAAAAGTTTAAACACTTACTTATGGAATATTTAAAAATTTCCTAAAAAATTTTTTTAAATAGGCTTAACTATTTAGCATAGAAGTAGACATCACAACTGGATATCTGAAGCTCCTCAGAAAATATGTATATTTTAAACCTTAAAAAACAGCAAAGAAACAAACTGTCTTACAATTTTTTAAATGTTACACCGTTCCTTTTCAAAGACAAAATGAAGTTTAATAATAAATGAATAAATACTTATAAAAAAAACAACCTTCTTGAAAGATGAATATGTATGGTTGATGAATATTTTGTTGTTTTTTTATGTCAGTGGAAATTCATTTCAATTTATGATAAGTTATTTTTTTCAAAAACAGTGAATTTCACTTTTTCACTATTTGCAGTCACTACTGAAAAGCATGTCTTTGTTATCTTCAAATATTAAGCTACAGGAAAAACAAGAAACAACACTGTCTGTTAGGAAGCTTAGAATATTAACTAGAAAAGTTTTAAAAGTCTTCTTTTTATCACGGACACTTTCCACCAACCTTAGCACAAAAGAAAAGTAGGTTAACATCTGGGTCGTAGAATGGTACCATAACCCCATTGCTCACATCCATCTCTTCCAAGCAGAAAGGTTTAACTAAGTCATTCTGCAAAAGTAGAAGGAAAAAAAAAAAAAGAAATTTTAGTGTCATAAGACAGATCTCTACCAACTAAGGAACATATTCAGTAGGGTTCTGCAAGTACATCATGAACACAAACATATAAACAGGCATAGCTAAGCTCAGTTGTTTGTTGTAACGAGCTTTTTATGTAGTACAAACAATACAGCAACAAGATCCTGTCAACCCCACAGATGTTAATTTAACTCTCCAGCTATATAAGAGATAACCATTCAATTTATCAATATGACAACATCAGATAAATTTTTATAGAATGCAAACTCCACAGCAAGTAACATAGTATTTAGGAGTAAGATGTAGACAACAATACAACATGGACACATATACATATAACAGATATAAAATGTGACACTACACTGAAAACACAATAGTGTATTTCTCTGATAATGACAAAGAACCACACTGAAATATAATATGATGTATCATATACCAGCCCTGGGCTACAATTGTTCTGACAACAAAACAAATGAGGATTGGATCATAGTTCTCAAGACAACCTGATACGTACGAGTTTTATTCAAAATACTATGCTTAAACAAAGCTTAATAAAACTATATTTTTTTCAAAACAAGATTTTTTTTATGTGATTAATTTCTCACATCAGACATAAAACAAAAAATAGGTACATTCAGCACTATACTGCTAAGTAAATCTAGATTAATGTATTCTGAGCTTGTATAAATGGGGGAACTTCCACTTTAAGAGGAAATTTTTAAGTTCTTCCCACTTGTTCTTGCTTCATGTGCTTGTTTGTGGTAATTCTATCAATTTGTAAGAAATATTTCAATTCAAATCTAACTGAGAAAATCTTTGAAGCTGAATTACAAAATTTTAGAGAACATTTCTATAAGTGCAATTTTTTTAGTCAAAAAAAACATTTCTGAGATTGAAAAACAGCTTATTGTTAGATTATCATCATGGTAGTTAAGAAATACTAGTTTTAAATCGCTAAAGTTTGTTTGTTTGTAGCTAAGCACAAAGCTATACAATGGGCTATTTGTGTACGCCCACCACGTATATCGAAACCTGCAAACTATTGCCGAGCTACCGGGCGGCAATAGATAAAGATGCCACTGGATAATTAGAATAACTTAAAACAACATCTTAATAGCTTGACAAAATCGTTCTTTTCTTTTTAATGAAATTTTTTTTACCAATTTCAAACTATTTTAACACCCATACTTATTATTCTCCATCAGTGTTTGAATTTTAACTTTATTCAGTAAACAAGTAAGAAGAAATTTGGGTGTTCATACCACCCCCCGTCCTCTAAACATTAATGTTTCCTTACAATTCCTATTACTACATAAACTAAACTATCCAATATCATACACATAATGCCATAATTTGAGCCTTCATCTATGTGATTTTTAACAGAACGAAAGAAGAACACGGTTGATGCATATTTTACACTTGGTTTGGCCTATGTCATATTTGTTTTTCATTCACCAACTGTTTCAGTGACTACTGTCTACCTTTCATTTTTGAGATAAAAAGGTAGAAGAGATTCTTTACCTCCTTCTGTCACTCACACCTAAATGATTTAAATTCTGTCTGCTGCTTTCATCTGTTGACTAATATTGTCATTAAGACACTAGACATTTAGCTTAAAATTCCAAGGGTGGTGCTAGCCTCTTCCTGATGATTGGGGGGGGGGGGGGGGATGCTACACATTACATCTTGTGGGCACACATACTATAGTATTTAGGAAGTTTTAACAGTAGGGGTTACAAGCGAGGCTAAAGCATATTTTGCAGTAACTTCAACCACAGCAAGCCCATACACCCTTACTGCTGTTTCTGGATGTTTCGTTTACTTTTGATGCACAAAATGTTTTTTTTTTTCCCACCTCCATCACTTATTATTATGTTTTTCAAACATATCACAGTCCCTCACCTCACTCCTCAGAGAATACTGTCGTTCACTCATCCTAGAAAATCCTGTTGTAATTATCATCCCATTCTTGAGGTAAAGAACACGCTGTGGTTTGGCCCCTTCATGACCCATGGCCTCCTAACGTTATAATCACATATTAGAAAAAGAGTAAACATTAAACTACAAAAAAATATTAAAATAGTTTTAGATATACGTGTACTATACACTTTAGTACAAGTATCAACAAAATAAGTGACAACCTAACAGTAAATACACACCTGTTCTTAACTTGCTTCATACGATTTAAGTACAAGATAACTGAACAGTAATATACAACTATTGTTAAGAGTTTTATAAAAACGTAATACCAAATGTGGTTACTTGCTAAGAGTGGATAAATAAAAGTGGAAAGAAAATATCTGATTACAGTATCTCCAAAAAAAAACAACAACACACAAACGATAAGCATTAAAAAGACTGGCACTATAATTGTGAACATACAACTTTCTAGACAGATTTTTAGATTACATATCTATGAAGACGAAAATAGTAATTAATTAATGTTGTGGTTTTTATTTTGTGAAACAACACGTTATTAATTATAAGACTCAACAAAAGTTACATTTCACAATGTGGAAGAGTGTATAATATACGTAGTTTTATTGTACTAAAAGATAAAATGTCTTTTGGACAAGATTTCATTTTTATTTATTCTGTACTTATGTTTCCTTTGAACTCCAGGAAATGACCACATGGGTTCTAACACGTTTTTATTGTTAGATAAAACTTTATTATAACACATTTTTAATTCAAAAATAAACAACAAGACATTTTAGAGTCCTGACTTAAAAGAATTTGAATAATTGATTTAACGTGTAACATTTCTTTTCAATGAAGGTAATAAATCCTGACCTTTTTATCTTTATATGTTGTTGCTTATAAAAATTTATCTAACCTGTAATATTTCTCCTGAACGAGGGTCATAAACCCTAATCTTTTTATCTTTGCATGTTGTTGCTAGTCGACTACCATTCCAGCTCCAACAGCAGTCAAAGACCACATCAGGATGCGTAAACCCAAAGAGGAGCTCTCCCGTTCCAACATTCCAAATCAATATTTTACAGTCAGCACCTAAAATGCAATTTCTGAATTGTCATCGTTCCAGTATATCCATTTTAGCCTTCTTCTTCAATAAAGTCCAATAAATATTTAGAGAAAAGTTAAAACACTAAAACAGTGAACTAGAAAATCTTTGAACGGATGATATTGTTAATTTTGAAATTCAGTTCAAAAGAAAACTAAATACCAGCAACAAAACTTGAAAAAAATGAAACGTTACTTTGATCTTCCAAAATACAGAATTTTATTTTAAAACACAAAAGTATGACCATAATAAGTTCTCAGAAATACCAAACAAAATTATCAAAATTTTCAACATTACTAAATGTTAGTTACTTAAATTTATGAACACGAAGCTAAGTACTTTCAGTTGAATTAAACTATAAAAAGTACAAGATGAACATTTATGCACACATTATATATAATATATATAATAGTAACATCTCATTCAGAGCTAATACAATGGTTCTATTTCAAGTTATTATCAAGTGCAAGTTATTTATCTTACTTATAAAGGAAACACAAGCACAAGTTGAACACTGACCTGAGCTTAATTACCTTCAACTTTAATACTTCTCACACTGTAAGCCAAATATTGACTTTAATCCACAACAAACTGATTTTCTCTGTAAAATTAAGTCTTGTGTTAATGATTTGTTTCTTAATCTCACTCACCAGCATATATACTCTGTCGTTACTGTTTCCTAATCAAAGTATACGATGACAAATGTACGTACAGACCATAAAATTGAAATGAAATACTTATTTGTTATTTGGGTACACCTATTTTATGATGTAATAAAAATACGAGTCATTTTAATCTTTATCAACTCAACCTACTAAGAAATACTTTTTACATACCGGCACTTAGTAGAACATTATTAGCAGATGGATGCCACTGAACAAGTCCAACTTTTTTCTGATGTCCAGCCAACTCCACAACCGGATCAATTAGAGGGCATACTAGTCCCCCCTCTGGAATTTGCCATACACGAACTAAAGTGTCATCTGAGCTACTAGCAATAACATTGTCATTATGTGGACACCAGGCAATGTCCATTACAGGCCCTTTGTGGCCTGCTACCTGAGGATAACTGACATTGATTCGACCAGTCTACAAATAGAAAATGTCAAACTTTGCTTTAATATGTTCCTTTTTAAAGTTCACATTAGTTTCTTTCAGATAATAGTAGGTTGGCCAATACAAGCATTGTATTTTCAGTCTTAAACTTCAATAAAATCTTGGCTACTTAAAATTATTTTCAATTTGAAGAAAAGTAAAAATTTTCATGTTTGATTTTTTTCTCAACAGTATAGACACTATTTTTCATAATCTGTCTACATTTTATACAATAAATGTGAAGAGATAATATGTAAAGTATAAAAGAAATTTAAGTACGAGTTTTGGAAATTAACAAAACAAAGCACACAAATTACATGAAAATACTATTAATTATTTAATAATCTTAGAATATTTGAAACAACACTTTTCTTGTATATCACAAAATTCTAAAAGTTTGTCAATGGTTAAAAAATTAAAAGACTTATAAGTACTGTAGTTGTCAGGCAATAAAATCTGAACACAAGAACATCTTTACAAAAACTTCTAAATTTATAAAATCACAAATTCAACAGTGAACAAATATTATATTCGTATCACTCTGAATTGCGGCTTTATGTCAATAAGAATAGTTATGATATTTTCATCAGTTTAGTGAAACCTACTTTAGACCATTTAAAACAACAAAGATGAACAAGATACTCCAGATGTGGCCTAATGATTATCTGGGTATTTGTAGAATTAAGGCCTACAATTTCTCTGTGCTATATTCTGAAGATAACAGAACAAGAGAACACAAGTTTAAGATCTGCAAAATACATGCTATGCTCGATCATTGAAGAACCAAGTTGTTCCTTGTTGTCCAAAAGTTATGTTACATTAGACAATTAGTCTAAACCTGAAATTAAACTACTGATTGCCTAATTCTTATTCACACACTTAAGGATTGTTCACTAAATTAAAATCACTGTTCCACCAGCAAATTACAAATTTACAAGCTGCAAGATTATTATTATTACTGCATTACTATTACAACTGATATTCTTCCACATAAATTGAATCAAGAGATTAAAATATTGTACATGTATAACATAGTGTTTACTAACCTTTTGGAGTGGAATCACAAGAAAAGCTCCACCTCCTGCTATTTCTGTAATAATTGCTAGAAACTTTGGATTGACAGCACAAAAATTGGAATCCCAAGAGTTTTTAGTTATTCTGATATTGTCATAACATTGTTCCCTATTTAGTGGTTGGCCAAAGACGTGACGAAACTTGCTCTGTCGCACTATTCTTACTGACATCTGAAACAAAAATGAGGCATGTATTTGATATCGTACATAAAAATATACGAGCTTAAAAAATTCTGGTTCTAATAATATAAAGTTATATAAACGTTCATGTTCTATACACAATTATTTGCTGTAATGAAAAAAAATTTTTTAAATAGTACAGGTTGAGCATCATGAGTTATATCTATTTTTCTGCAGTACACATTTGCTAAAAATAAAATTTTATACTTTTGCCTAAACTGAAAGAAACAATATTCACTAATAAAAACAAGCTTTGTTGGATAAGTATATGAATGTAAACGGCTATATCTAATTTGGTTTTTTTGTTTACTTGTTCTTCCAGTAAAATCATAAAATACAAATGGTAAGTGTGCCTTCTAACCCACCAAAACCAAATAATGTAACGACAAGAGACCATTTGGTCCTTCAAGGCTGTACGTACCACCTTGAAAAAAAGTAAAAACTTAAACCATACCGTATTTTTCACGAAATCAACGATTCCTCCTTCAGACTCCTGTAAATGGTCAGCCTCCATTATTGATAATAGCAACTCATTCCATAAAAGAACCACGGTATTACAAAACCTAACTGGACCCTATCCTGTCTTTTCTGAATCTCACATGTCCTTTCATCCTATTGTCCCTCAGAATAGAGCACAAAGAAGCAACATATATCAATCCTGTTGATTACCAACAGATTATCATAACATGGTGTATAGACAATAATGTGCTATTGGTCCTTCAATGCTGTCCTTCTACACCCACCCTTGAGAAACATAAAAACTTAGCCCTATCCTATAATTTTCAACGAACCGTCACTTTCCTTCTTAAACTTCTGTTAAGAGCTGGTCTCCATACACTACAAATCTACAACGTCATCATCAGGTACAATGATGATGACAAAACCTTGTATGTTTGCTGTTATGTTAAACTTATATTATCGTTTTCCTTCATTACCCATTCAAGCCGTCTCCAAGCTTTAATATCTGTACTTGTTGAACTTAACTTGTAGTTGTAGGCAATAATACTCACTTTGCAATGCATTAACTCCAAAGTGAAAAATGACAGCATAAATTTATTACAGTATGTAATTTTTAGCTTGTACCTAGCCAAAGCTATAAGTATAATATTAATAAGGCATGTGTAAGTTCACGCTTGTTACAAGCAAACGTGCATTATTCTCATTTCAAGTTCTTAACAATAACACTCATATTAACAAAACTTAAAACTTAAGTTTACCTCGAAAATAAACGTTGCTTAGGTTGTTTGTTCAGTACTGGATCACAAATGAAGAGGAAGTTGTAGATGAACTGACGTTTACAAATTAAGCTGCAACTGTCAATAGTAAAATTTTAAAAAATTATAAACTGCATTCAAATTTGTTAGCCACAGTAGCGGTACTATATCACATCAACATCTACCTAATATCAAACCCAACCCCAAAAATACACTAATATTACGCATGCGTTGTATGCTCTGTACACCTCCTGACGAAAATGGATGATTTAATAATAAACTTAATAAAATAAATTTAATACTCTCTGTGAATATACACATATTAATAGCAAAGTCAGCAACGAGTTAAACATTAAAAGATATTAATTCATAAAGCTTTGAAAACTAAGTTGAAATAAATCTGAAATTACCTAGCGACTTTTTTTCGAATAATATTTAATTAGAGATTCCACGTTTGCAGTAAAATATAAGTGGGAAAATACTGATAAAAAAACATACATCATTTTTAGTACTTTTAATTTGGTTTGTTTTAGCACAATGCTACACAAAAGGCTATTTGGACTCTATCTACCTAGAAAAATCGACCCCGGATCTTATCGTTAAAAACCTGCAAACTTATCACTCATCCACAGGGAGGAAATGTTGTTTAGAGTTTCGCAATCGAAATATTTTATAATAACTGATGTCCGGAATTTCTTTTATTATGTGTCACAGGTAAATATCAAGTAAAAACTTCAGAACTATACCTATTCAAGTTGACTGAATCCAATTGTTAAATCTTGTAAATAAGCTACCTGGAAATATTGATCGTTTTCTTTATGTTATTGCTCTTTATTATGAAACTCACGATTTCATTTGCCAAAATTAGCTTCAGACTAAAAGTGCTCTGTGCATCCGCTTCAAAATTAATTTGATCATAAATGAAACCATATTTTATAGTTTTTTCATGTTGTTATACTTGAACCCCTGTTGGTATATATTCATACATAAATAGATGGGATTTTATAGAGCATTCAAGATGAAAATTTCAAAATAGTCCGCTAAACGGTTATTGAATTGTCATTAATACAAACTTTGATAGAAGACAGACATGATAATTTAGCAGTTTATTTTTATATAATTATATCAGGCTACGTAAGCTAACGTTTTGTGTTCTGGTTGATTATTATTATTATTATCTTCGTTTGCTTGTAAAATGCTGAATGAATTGATGAACATAGGTTCCAATATATTTTTCCAGTACTTTATTTGAAAAAGAAGAAAAATGGGCATCAAACGTTGAGGATCAAAAGTATTTCAAATCTTAATACATCAAAGTGTGGGCTAAATATTTACGGTATATTTAACTCTGAATGAGGGAAGAAATAGATGAACGTTTCGTTTTTAAACTCGATATAGACATACATTTTTTTTGGAGATCGCTTGTAAATAGATAATAAAAACAAAACGTTGAAGTTTTCTGTTCTATACGTTAGTATTCTTTTTTACTATCAGAAGCCAATATACTTTGAGTTTGGGTGACTTTGAATCATTTAATAAAAAATCTATTGTAATAGAAAACAAAAATAATAGTTGCAAGATTATTTATCACTTGTTTCAATAGTTGCTTGCCCCTCTCGTTGGCTCAGTAGTAAATCTGAAAACGTATATCGCTAAAAATCGGGTTTTAATAGCCGCAGTGGACAGAGAAGAATTAGCCCATTGTTTAGCTTTGTGCTAATTTTAAAGTAGTTGAATTTTGTTTTGTTTTCGCATAGACAACCTACATATACAATAGTAATTAAAAAGGACTAGCATGACCTGGTGGTTAGTGCGCTCGACTTGTAATCTGCGGTCGCATTATCGAAACCCGTCGTTAAACATGCTCGTCCTTCAAATCGTGCAGTGTTACAATATTACGGTCAACCCCACTATTCATTGGTAAAGAGTAGGCGGTGATGGGTGGTGTTGACTAGCAGTGTTATATCTATTTTATCACATCAAAATTAAGGACTACTAGCATAGATAGGCTTCGAATAGTTTTGTGCGAAATCCAGGCAACAGCAGTTATAGTCTTGTGTTTTTAAAATAGAGGATGGTGATTTGGTTCGTTATTGTTGCACAAGGCGCTTTGGTAAATTACAATTATCAAGGTATACATTACTCTAGTGGATAATATGTATATAACACAGTGGTTAAAACGGGATTACTTCGGTATATTCACCGGAATATATTGTTTATTACGTACCATTTTCATAAACTCCTTAGTTTATCAATTAGAATTCTCGTATATTTCAATAGTTATCATGATTGGTATATTGCCGTGCTATTTTGGAGTTATTTTAACAAAAATGTTCAGTTATAAAATATAATTAATAAAAATACATATTACCTGAGGATATCTCATTCATAATTATTATAAATATAGAATTAACGAAAGTAATACATCACAAGTAGTGAATAAATTACATTTTATTCACGCGCGCTCTTAAGTATAGGGGCGTAATAGTTCCTGCGTTAAGGTCTAAACAGCTTTGTGTGTCGTTGTTGTATGTGTAATACTAGAGTGTAGGCTTAACCGTAATAATAACACAGTGAAATACGTTGATACTGGAACAGAAACTACCGTTAATTGGTATTTTTAGAGTAATCAAAATATATTTTTGTTTTGCTTAGTAGTACTGCGTCATACAACAATGTCAATTGGTGTCCCAATTAAAGTTTTACATGAAGCTGAAGGTCATATTGTAACATGTGAGACAAACACGGGAGAAGTATACCGAGGAAAATTGGTGGAAGCCGAAGACAACATGAATTGTCAAATGTCTAACATTACTGTAACTTACCGTGACGGAAGAGTAGCACAAATGGAGAATGTATACATCAGAGGGAGCAAAGTAAGATTTTTGATATTGCCTGATATGCTCAAAAATGCTCCTATGTTCAAAAAAACTGGAAGTAAAGGGGCTGCAGCTGCAGCCGGAAGAGGAAAATCTGCGATATTACGTGCTCAAGGTATTTCATTTGGCAATTTTTAGGCTTTGCATGATTTAATCTGTTTGTTGCTGCCAGTCATCTAGTTAACTTAGTGCTGTAAATATTGAGTTTGTGTTTTGACAAAGAAACATGAAATTAGCAAGTAAATGACATTTCTAAATTAAACAGTTTATTTATAAAGTTAGGCCTATTGTTGAATGTGATGTTAATTGTGGAACCTCAAGTTTAATAAATAAAATTTTACTGTCATTTAGTGGACTGTACTATGCATTTTTCTTTTTACCAAATAATCCAAAAGAACATAGCCAACAACAGAAACCTTTATAATTCCGATAACAGAATTGTGATTATTTTCGTAAAAATAAAATTTAGGCCCAACTTCAAAATGGTGGCAATAGTTTGAAGTAAGATTGAAAATTGTATGAAATGAAAAAATAGTGTAAAGAAGACCAGGAAGAAAGAACATTTAGAGAAGGAGACAGGAAACGAAGAGAAGACTTACAAGAATGAGACTTAACACTTATAGAATTGTGAATCAAGGTAAATTTTACGGAAGACCACATTAAAGCTGACTAAATCACAGGAAATGTACAGAAGAATATAGAAAGGAAATAATTGAGGTATAAAAAAAACATCATCACCAGTAGCATAGTGATATAGGCAGGGCAATTGCCCCAGGGCTCAGCTAACTAGGAGCTCCTCAGAATTGGTATTTTAATTTTTCAAAACTGGAATTAAGGAGAAAGTATTATGTAGCACAAAAAATATTTTAAAAGGGTGCAGTGCAAAAAAAATATTGCCTTAGGCCCTTGGAAACCCTGTTATTCCACTGATCATCTCTGTGATGAAACATCTGGAAACTGAATTTATAAATGCTGTAATCAACAGCCACATTTCTCTCCACGATTGGTAGAGAATTCCAGTCTCTAACACTATTAATTATACAATAAAGAATATAAGAATCCATCTGGTGTCCACCTGTTAGTACTACTGTCTTGCATCCTGTAACTATTGGCAACTTCATAGATTAATTCGGCTACATCACTACCTTGTTAAGTTAAAAATATGACAGACCTCTTCAACAACATTATCCACTAAAAAAAAACAATGAGATGTGATGGAATTGTATCATTGAAGGCATATTGGACACAGCTTGAAGTAATCTCCAAAGAGCAAGCTGTTCATCTTGCTTCTCATTCAGAAGGACCAGTGTTAACAACAATAACCAACCATCTTTACCCAATTATTGTATTGAGATTCTTTATCTGAAATGATGGATTTATTGTCAGGAGGCCAATTCATAATGCCATAACAAGTGAGAATATACGAGAAATTAGATGAATTCAAAGCAAGTACACATATTTAAGAGAAGCTCTTCTGTTGGCAATGAACCATAATCAATTAAAATCGTGGATAACCATCTACAAGTACCATCCAGATATTATGGGGTTGTCGTATCGAAACTTCAACTCTGTCTGTCTGGTGGAGGTCAAAAGAAGTCAAATGATTAATTATACATCGGGTAAAGAAGGTGTTTCAATAAAACTTAAAGGAACATATTGCTAAAAGCTGTTGACATGTTTCAGAAGGGGAGATGAACCTCTCATCATTAACATAACTTTAGAATTACCACAGTCTATATAGGCACCATTGGCTTTTAAATACATTTTTCTAAATAGTTTATGCACTGAATTTTTTGTGGGTTCACTACTGTGTTGGGTACAGAGTCCCTAGTAACATGTGATTGAGACAAAATAAATGTAAAAAAAATATGATCAATTTAATTTTTTTTCACATTAAAATAAGTCTTATTTGTTTCTACTATTTTTTATTTTTTTTCCCAAATTATGTCCTGGTATGTTAAAATGAACCTTGTTTGAACAAGGAAAAATTCTGAAAATGTGTTTAATTAATTACACCATATTTAATTACATTACAGCTGCCAGAGGGAGAGGAAGAGCTCGGCCAATTTTCCAAAGAAGAAAGTAATTCCCCAAGATTGAACTTTCAGTGGAATAGGACTCCACGTCGTCTCAAGCTATCGTGTATGAATTTTATGTCGATGAATTTATGTAATTTGAATCATTCACAGCATTTCATTAAAAACTAGTGAATAAACCAGTGTTTTAAATAAGTTTGGGTGTATTTTTGTTTTCTAAATGTTTCATAAATGAGAAAGAGATAGTTAAATGTTTTTATAGTATTTTTGAAAACTGTAAAATAAATTAAATATAAAGGTTTTATGTTAAAGCATTGCTTGGATCACTGTAATCATTGTACCAATACCACACCAGAAAATTGAATATAAAAGTTTAAAGCAGATTATAACGACCAGCATGATACTTTTATAATAAAATTAGAAGTCTTAAATCCCAGATAAATGTTTTTTAAAAAGTAAAAGTTTTGTTCTTAGTGAAACTATACTGCAATTAATTTTTTTTTTGAGTTAAAGAGCATTTAACATTTAATAGAGTAAACAAAATTAATAATCATTTCAACAATATTAAAAAGTATAGTTTATGAATTTATAATAAAGAGGAAGTGATTACTTATTAACTACTAGTACTGAAATTTGTTTTAAAAAAATAGCTAGGTGATGAGTATTTAACTTCTCAATTATCAAATTAAACAGAAGTTTGTGATAAACATGTGGGGGGGGGACCTATATGTAAAATTATGGCTTCAATGAACTGTCCCTACTCACTTCTAATAGTGAGACTGTTTCAGCTTCTGTACTGCGGCCTTCTTTAGGCAGGAGCAGACCATTATAAATCAAAACTTCATTAACTGGTTAAAATACTTTTGAAACATCTGCTTTACATGTGTTTTAGGCTCATAACTATTAAAGGCATAAACTTGTTCATCTCGTTACTTGAAAAACAACAACTTTAATTGGGTGTTTGTTTTAAGAATGTAATATAGTTCCAGATTTGTAATTTCACGTAGAATCAAATCTAAAAAGCAAGAATTATCAGAAATGAAGTACGACTGTTGTTTAATTACTGAAAAATAATACTTGAAAAATAATTTTGTTTAAAGAAAGAAAGCAAATGCTTACTTGTCTGCAAAATATTGCAATGTAATATTATTTTTAACTGGTTGCTTTTCCGTTTAGTAGTGTAAGTTACAAACTATCGTGTTCAGCTTACTTAGACCAATTTGTTGAATCATTTTAATACTGTCACTGTCTTTTTGGATGTTGACGTCATAAACCTTGACTTTCAGAAGGTTCTTAATAAAGTGTTATATAAAAAATTTAACAAATTTGATGCTTAAAGAGATTGACTGAAAAGTTAGAAAGTAGATGAACATCTGGCTTGCTTAGTAAAAAAAAGATAAACAGATATTTTTTTCCAAATGGGAAAATGTGACTAGTATATTCTTTCAGGGATTTGTTTAAAGATCTTTGGGGATTATTATTTATCTTAATGATTTGAATATTTTATTAGACATTAATGTTTTTAATAAAAATCATAAAGCCATTTACTAAGTGTTTAAATGTAGTTGAAAAAAGAGCAAGTATAGCTCTTAGATCTCTCTCTCCATGCATATATTAACTTAAAGGGGGTAAAATAGAGGGACGTAAAAACTGGTGAAGCTTAAAACACTATGCAGTTTTGGTCCCTTCACTACCGAAAGAATATCAATATACTGGAAATAGTGTGGAGATAGATCCATAAGCATGATATCTTGTTTGTTGTTAAACCCCGTAGGTGGCCAGGATGTATGTATACGTCATAAGAAAATGTTCCATATTTTAAAAATTATGTATATATGAATCACACCACTTTTTGGGCTGAACGCTATAGTTATGCTGTTTGTACTCATCAAGTGGTTTCTGTGGTCTCCTAGTTCTATTTTACATTCATAGATGGCGCGCTTTTCGACTTTGGTTGTGAAATACATCTTAAAACTCGTAAATCCTTTAGCAAGGCGAGAATGAAGGTATAATTAGTGATATTTTAGAACACTCGTCTGATGAAATTAGTGAAGTTGGGAGAGTTAAACTTGCAGGGTTTTTTTTGGAAGATTCTCAGATTGACATAGAAAGGGATTTGGAAATTTTAACTGAAGAAAACGATTGATATTGAGGCAGGCTGAAACTTTTAGAATTAGAAAGAGAGCTGCATTTAAGTTTTGTGGTAATAGTGGAGTGCAGGTTTCTGCTCGGGATGAAATATGTGTTCATCAACGCTTTGAAATTTTCGTTGGAATTAACTTGTTTACAATGACTGCCCAGCACCCTCTTTTCGAGTGTACAACACAAATGGAAAGGTAAGTTATGTGAACTAAAAGTCGGACTTCATTATCAATTGAAATAGATAACTTCTACACAGAAATAATCATTATAATTAAGAAGGAAAACTACTACTACAAGGTGTGTTTCTGTCACAAAAAAAAAAAATTACCAATTTAAGGAGTTAAGCTGGAAGAAATAAGTAACCACCAATGAATACATGAACTTTCACACTACAAGAGAGCATCTCAAAATATTTCTGAAATGCCTCAAATGAACAATACTCTTCTCAAGCCTGAATTCGTCTCTCTCTTTATGTAACAGTTGCGTTAATGAATGTTATTAATATTGTGCTTTTTAAGTAAGTTGTTTTATTTAATTTTCGTAATCGACGATGTTTAATATAATCTTGCTGGTTGTTGAAAGCATAAACTTGAACGTAATATTAACATGAAATAGTGAAGACACACTTATCTAGAAAATATGATGAATAATTTCAAAAAAGCATTAATTGCTATAACAGCTATAAATTAGGCAAAGAGTAAGATGATGCAGTTACATGAAGGGAAACAAGTTTCTCAAAAATACATTATTATTTGGAGTTCGTGTAAAATTACTTTTTTTGACGAACCAGATAATTAACAATCTGTTGGAAAGAAAATTGTTTTTTAGTAAATTCATGACAATGGTATAAAAATAATCTAATATAATATTATACAACTATGCGCACAAAGAAGGGGGGGGGGACTTTGTGGGTGGGGTGCGACTCGATTCCTCCCCTTAGCCATGAACTTTAAAATTTGTGCAAAAATAAACATACTAGGAAAAGTCACATTTAAATACAGAATAGTTATCACTAATATGAACTGTCAAATTCGGTGACGAGGAACCCACTTTGAGACTAATAATGGCTGGAGACGGCTTGAATGGGTAATGAAGAAAA